TTGTGAAAGTTGGACAATGAATAAAGAAGACCATAGAAGAATTGGTGCATTTGAGTTATGGTGTTGGAAGAGGATAGCAGAAGTACCCTGGACTGCCAAAAGAACAGATTTGTGTTGGAAGAAGTACAGTCAGAATGCTCCTGAGAAGTCAGGATAGCCAGACTTCCTCTCTCATACTTCGGACATGTTGTATGGAGGGACCAGTTCTTGGAGAAGCACATCATGCTGGGTAAAATAGAAGGTCAAGGAAAAAGATAAAATCCCCAATGAGATGGATTGGCACAGTGGCAGTGGCAATGGGCTCAAGTGTAACAATGATTGTGAGGTTGGCACAGGACTGGGCAGTGTTTAGTTTTGTTGTGCATCAGGTTGCTCTGAGTTGGAACTGACTCAACTGCATTTACCAACATAAATATGTGCACATGCACGCACACACACACAAGAGGGTGAGCAAAAAGTATCTTCCAGGGATTGGTCCCTTCTGATAATATGTACGAAGTATGAGAGACAAGTCTGGCCACCCTGGCTTCCAGGGAACACTCTGGCTGTACTTCTTCCAACACAGATCTGTTTGTTCTTTTGGAAGTCCATGGTACTTTCAATATTCTCCTCCAACACCATTACTCAAATGCACCAACTCTTCTACAGTCTTCCTTGGTCACTGACCAACTTGTTCATGCATATGAGGTTATTGAAAATACCATGGTTTAGATCAGATGCACCTTAGTATTCAAACTGAAGTCTTTGCTCATCAACACTTTAAAAAGGTCTTGTGCAGCAGATCTGCGTAATCAATATGTCATTTAATTTCTTTACTGCTGCTGTGTTGATGGTTGAAATGAAGTCTTTGACCGCTTCAATATTTTCTCCATTTATGTGTTGCTGTTAAATGCTGTTGAGTCGGTTCCAATCCATAGTGACCCTGTATAGGGTTTCCATGGAGCAGCTGTTGAACTTGAACCACCAACCTTGCAATTCAAACAATTTTGCAGCCCGGTGCATTAATCTATAGCACCACACCAGGATCCATTTATATAGATGTTGATTATTAGTCCAGCGGTGAGGATTTTTGTTTTCTTTACATTGAGGTGCAACCGATACTGAAGACTGTGGTCTTTGATCTTCATCAGTAAGTATTTCAAGTCTTCGTTGCTTTCAGCAAACAAGGTTGCATCATCTACATATTTCAGGTTGTTAATTGAATCTTCCTCCAATCCTGATGCCACATTCTTCTTCCTATCATCCAGCTTCTCAGATTATTTGCTCAGCATAAAGATTGAATAAGTAGGATGAAGGAACACAACCCTGAAGCATCCCTTTCCTAATTTTAAACTATTCTGTGTTCCCTTGTTCTGTTTGACCGCTGCCTCTTGGTCTATGTACAGGTTCCTCATGAGCATAATTAATTGTTCCAGAATACTCATACTTTGCAATGTTTTCCATAGTTTGTCATGATCCACATAATCGAAAGTCTTTGCATAGTCAACAAAGCAGTGATCTCATATAATGTTTGTCTTTTGGTGATTGACTAATTTCACTCAGCATAATGTCCTTCAGGTTCATCCATGTTGTAATGTGTTTTGCAGATCATAGTTATTTTTCAACATTATGTAACATTTCATTGTGCAACACCATGATTCTAATACATTGTTTCCTCTATGGTCTTTCTTATTCATTGTCCAGGTTTCACATGCATATGAGGCAAATGAAAATACATGGCTTAGGTCAGGTATACCTTAATCCTCAAACTGATATCTTTGCTCTTTAAATACTTCAAGAACCCCTTTTGCAGCTGATTTGCTCAATGCAACATGTCGTTTGATTTCTTGACTGCTGTTTCCATGAACAGTGATTGTAGATCCAAGTAAATTGAAGGCTTTGACATCTTAAGTCTTTTCTCCATTATAGGTGCAACCTATACTGAAGACTGTGGTCTTTGATCTTCATCAGTAAGTTTTCAAGTCCTCTTTACTCCCAGAAAGCAAGGTTGTGTCATATTCATATCACAAGCTGTCTTCTTCCAATGCTGATGCCATATTCTTCTTCATATAATTGGCCTTCTCGGATTATTTCTTCAGTGTATAGCTTGAATTAAAAATACAACTCTGATAACATCTCTCCAGATTTTAAACCACTCTGTATCCCCTTGTTCTGTTCTAATAATTGCCTTTTTTTTTTTTTTTAAACATAGGACAACATCAGGTTTACACTCATTGTTTCATTGCAATGATTACAATCTCCTCTAGGCATCATTCCCTGTTATTTTATTGTTTTTGTGTTGGGGGGGGGGATATACACAAAAACACTCAGGAATATACAATCATTTAAACAACCAAGGGGCACATTCTGCAAGTCTGCCTCCTGCCCACCAGCACCTGCCCGCCGGCACACAGCCCCTCTTTCTCCATGAGTCCATAGTCCTCACTGCTTTATTTCTCCATGTCCTCATCTCTGCCTCCTTCTCTGGTGTCTCTACTTCTCTGTATAGGGTCCCACATTCCACTCAGGTGTCCCAGCTTTCACCACACTTTGGACCAACCAGACCTTCTTCTTGTCTCTCCCACCTCCAGGTCAATGGGAATCTATGGAACGTGGTTGAACTCAGCCCATTTCTTTATTGCTGCCTTTCCCCTTCTTCCGCTCACCTGCAAACTAATGTTGTCATCAGTAAGCTTACATACCTCATGTGTTCCCTTTGAGTTTCATTCTTGGAGGAGGGTTTGTCCTGAAGGGACTTGATTGCTTGCCTGCATGGCTCCCCAGCAAACAACTTGCTTGTTCTTGTAGTAACAACTGCCTCTTGGTCTATGTACAGGTTACTCATAAACATAATAAAGTGTTCTGGAATACTCATTGTACACAATGTTATCCATAGCTACCATCATGATCCGCACAATTGAAAGCCTTTGTGTAGTCAATAAGTCACAGGTAAACATCTTTCGGGTATTCTCTGCTTTTAGCCAAGATCCACTGATGTCAGCAATGATATCCTTCATTCCACATCCTTTTCTGAATGCACCTCAAATTTCCCCCAGCTCCCTGTTGATGTACTGCTGCAATCATTTTTAAATAATTTTCAACATAATTACACTTGTATACTATATTAATGATATCAATAGGCTTCCTGGTATGGCTCTGTGGGATAAAGCACTGGACTACAAGGTTGGATTGAACCACAAGGTTGGCAGTTGAAATTCACCAGCCACTTGTTGGAAACCCTAAAGGTTTTTGTGAGTTGGAACTGACTCAGTGGCACTTAATAACAATAACAATATTACTGACATTAGTAATTTTCGCATTCTGTTGGGTCACCTTTTTAGGAATGGGCACAAAAAAGGTCTCTTCCAATTGGTTGACCAGGTTGCTGTCTTCCACATTTCTTTACATAGATGAGTGAGTGCCTCCAGTGCTGCATCAGTTTTTTCAAAGATTTCAATTTGCATTCTGTCAATTCGTGGAGCCTTGTTGCTGTTTTTTTGTCAATGCCTTCAGTGCTATTTGAACTTCTTTAAATGCCATTGGTTCTTGATCGTATACTACCTCTTGAAATGATTGAGCCTTGACTAATTTTTTTTTTAGTATTGATCGCAACAGGAGACTCGTGAAATAATGTAATGTTAAGGCTTTAGTTTAGATATTCTGTTGATATTAAATAACAGAGCTCCTTTATATGAGTTAATGGTAGATTGCCCCCCACCCCAGATCACTTTCTCTATTATATTCACCAAAGATATTGTGGGTGACACTGAATAGTTTTCATCTTGCCTAGAAATGTCTGGTGAAAGGAGATGGGAATAGGATTCATTTGATTCAACAGTGAGTAATTGTTATCATGACTAATTGTGATTATCCCAATTGTAAGCAGCTAATCTTGCATTCTAGGAACAGAGGATCCTAGGACCACCAAGAGAGAAGAGCATAAGTGGGATCCTGACCCGAGAAGCAGTGACACAAAAAACGGAGGCAGAGGTGATGGCTTGGAGATACTGAGCAGCTGAGGACTCTAGACTTATGGAAAGAGAAAGGCTATGTGCTGGCGGCCAGGAGGCTGGCTTGCTTAAGGTGCCTTTTGGTTGTTTGAACAATTATATGTTCCTGCATGTTTTTTTGTACATAAAAAACATATAAACAAAATAAAACAGAGGGAATTAGAAGCAAACACTGTTAACTGATAATGCATGGAGGTGATTGTAATCATTGCAATGAAACAAAATATGATAGACTGAGTGCAAAACCAGTGTTCCCCTATGTAAACTATCACTCAATCACAATGAAACCTTTGTAAAGAAAATATATTGTCGTTGAGAATGTTGAGGTTTAGCTTTTGTGGCTGTCCAGATTGTGGCCCTGTTGGATAAGTACTGGACTGCAAGGTCTGTTTGAACTGCAAGGTCAGAGGTTCAAACTCACCAGCTGCTCCTCAGAAACCCTACAAAGGTCTCTATGAGTCTGACCCAACTCTAGGACACTTAACAACAAAAAAAGAGTTGTTACTTTAAGTTACTACGTGTTTTTAGATCAAAGAGTTTACCAAGTAGCACAGTTGGCTTCATTTTTACATTTGGAAAACTACAGGAGATATAAATGAATCAGAAGTTGTTTTGCTTGAGTACTTGTTTCTGGTCACAGATTTGGGAGGCTCTATTGGCACAGAACCAAATTGCTTACTTATCAAAAGAGCTCACTATCTTGAAATTGCTGCCATTGATCTTTAATCCACTGAACACTAATATTTGGGTCTGGTTATCATAAATATTGCCTCACTTCATAAACATTGCCTTGGCAGTTCAAACTCTTTTTGGCTCTTTGATCCCATTTGGCTGTCCCAGGGATTCCTCTGGAGGTCAGCAGAGTCTCAGGTAGTAATGGAACCCTGGTTCTCGCACAGGACAAAATCAAGTCTTTTCACCCAGTGCCCACAAGAATGGGGGCTTATATTTGTGAATTTATTAAATAAGTATCAGTACCTGAGGTTATAGGAAAGTTCCCTGATTACTCTCCTATGGGTAAAATTTGATCATTTTTGTGTTCTGGCATTTAATCTCAGTAGCTTTACTTGTTCTATATTTATGGATGCCTTTAAGCAGAGTGAAAATAAGACACGGTAAAGCCAAAGGTTTATTTGTTTGTATTTTAAGAATAAAGTCGTTATTGGTTCCCAAATGTCCACCATCTGGGTAGGATCAAATAGTCCCAGAAAGTCTAAATTCCATCTAAAAGTGTTTGAAGTACACAGCATTAGGATCAATGGATTTGCTGCAGAACTGAACTCTTTGAAGGTAAATATTGCACTAACTGGGATGATTTCCAAAATAAAGTAAATTTACTTGCACCAGATTAAAGCAGATCAATGGAATTGACATTTACAGGACTAAAGCAACAACCAAACTGTGCTCCTTCTTCCTCTCCTACTCTTTCCTTCCTTCTTGACTTCTATCTTTATTTCTCCTTTTCCTCTTTCTCTAATGTCAATTAGGTAAAATAGAAGTTTAATATCTGAAAATTCTATATCTGAGATTTGCCTCAAAATGATACAGAAGAGAGAGATATGGGGTTATAGATGACATAATACTGGTCAGAAGTCAGTAATCATTAAACCTGAATGAGGGCTACATGGGAATTTATTATATTTTCCCGTAGACTTTTGTGATTATTTTGAATTTCTATAATAGGTGTTTAAAAATAGGTTGCTGTTAGCTGCCACCATGTCAGCTCTGATTTATAGAGAAGTTATGCAGAACAGAATGAAACATTGAATGATCCTGTGCCATCTTCATGAGTTTCGGTGTGTCTGAGTCCATAGTGTGGCTATTATTGTCACAGCCCATATCATTAGGAGGATTACCTCATTTTGCTGATCCTCACTTTACCAGTCTTTCTTCTAGTCTTTTTTTTTAATTAAATGTTTTTATTTTGGATTGA